GCTTATTTAAAGTATTTCTTTTGGATGCTTTGTCTAATGTTGAATGAGCCTGATAAAATTTCAATTTTGGTCCTTGAACTTATGCCTAACTTTCAATTCAAATCCCTCCAGCTCTAAATTCACTTGACTTAGGGTGCGTTTGGAATTGGCTTTGCCAAGGGCTTTGGGCATCCAAAGCCCCTTGTGCTAAAATTTAGTGTATAGGAACAATTTTAGAAACTCCCCTTCAGCAAAAGTGAGCCTTAATGTATCCATTGGAGTCAACACGTGTTTGATGTGGTAAATCTTCTTGCAACCGTAGGTTATCACCTCATGGAAATGCATGGGATTGAAAACCACGAAAGCACAACCGAACCTTGAGTAATGAGATTTCTTAACATGAACACTGCACTCGAGTTTTTCATGGGAAACTCGTGGTGGCTCCAATGGATACATCAACTGCAATTCATCAAATTTTGAGTGAGAACGACTTGATTACAAAAGTTGTGCATGTTCAAAGCTGGATTTTACATAATAAGTTTGAGACAATGCTGAAATTTTACCTAATTTCAAACTAATCAGTCTGCTGACGAAGTTACCCATTCACTTCTTACAACCTCATCTTATTTTTTTTCATAGCTCAAGGGGACACTAGCTCAGAGGCTCCACTATTTGGAGGTTAATAAAATACCTTTTAAGTCTCATGAACTGATTTAATTTAAGCCTTTGACTTGTACAAGTGACTCTAATTCATAGCAGTTGTATGCAGTTAGTGGGATTGAAATATGTTTGTATTGGAAATCTCCTCAAAGCTCAACCAAGGTTGTCAGACAACCTCGTTACCTCGGAAATCTACAAATTTGTAATCTATTTACTACCATTTTTCTATTTTGTAAGAAAACATATCATCAAATGACCAAGCTTGAGTGAAGAAATTTGTCACGTCAGCTTGCGGATTTCATGAGACTTGGCGTGAAGATCATGTAATAGGCCATTGAGCAGATTTAACAAACTTGCCGTTGTTGTTTTCCTTCTTCACGAAAGGCCCTCTTCTCGGGACTTATGAATTTGTCTTTCCTTGTGTTTCATGCTTCTTTTTACTCTCTTCTTTCGTTTCTTTCACTTCCACATGCATTTGCTTTCTTCAACCGGTAGAGTTTGCTCTGGAATCTCTCTCTGTGTGAGGAAATCCTGGCCTTCTCTTCAAACTCAATTTTTCCATTGATTTTGCTGAAGAAGATCCGGTGCTTCTTGTTTCAACCCTGTCCTGGATGGTATCAGTTTCACTGTTTCTTCTTCTGCATGGTATCATACGTATATATTGAGTATTGACATGATTCTCTCGTAGTTTCTTGAACTTAGGGTGTTGATTTATGGTAGCATGTATGTTCATGCCACAGCATGCATGCCGGTTTGATCTGAATTGTTGCTTTAATGGTCTCTTATGATGCTAATATAATGTACATACTCTGTTCATGCATGCCTGCATGCCGGTTCTATCTGAATTGTTGCTTTACTGATTAGGTGAAATGAATATATTGAGATAAATGAAGTGCTTTTTGTTAAGGAATGATTGGGAGTTCTAGTTCTTCAACACACAGAACATTCAAGTTGATTTTCTTTTGCTGAAAATAGCAATTAAAGGCATAGGCTGCTACTTGAAGCTAAGTGAAAGTCCACAGATCACGAACATTTTCGACACTTTTTCTCCGGCATATGCAGGAAAACAGTTAGCTTTTTGAATCATATGATATAGCTCATGCTTGTATTTGATAAGAAAGAAAGATTAAAAGAGAATGGTATTTATTCTCTTATAATGGTATATGAAACAATGTACATGAGAAGCCTTTATATAGGCTTAGAGGAGTAAAGGAGCCTAGCATTCTTCCTATGTGGGACCAAAGAGAAAGAAGAGATGTAAAGGAAAACCTACAAAACTATACAACATGTTCTAACACCCCTCCTCAAACTCAAGGTGGATCAAATAACGAGAGTTTGAAAAGAAGAAATTTAAATCGTTGTGATGTAAGAGCCTTCGTAAAACAATCGGCAAGTTGATTCTCAATTCCAACAAAAGGAAGTGAAATAGTGCGAGCTTGGAGATGATGACGAGTCAAATGACAATCGATCTCAATATGTTTGATACGCTCATGAAAGACTGGATTTGCACCGATATGAATGGCACTCTTGTTGTCACAATGTAGAGGAGTAGGATCCAGAAGTGAAACTCCCATATCAGCAAGTAAGCGGCGAAGCCAAACAATCTCAACAGTAGTGTTGGCCATAGCACGATACTCGGACTCTGTAGAGGAGCGTGAGACAATATGTTGTTTCTTGGAACGCCAAGAAATAAGTGAATCACCAAGAAAAATGCAATAACCAGTGATAGATTTGCGATCAGCGACATTGGAAGCCCAATCAGCATCAGAATAGGCACGCAACTTGAGAGCAGAAGAGGATGGTAGAAATAAGGAACGCGATCAAGTGCCTCGAAGATAGCACAGAATCCTTAGAACAGCCGCATAATGAGTTGTTCGAGGAGCAGCAACAAACTGACTGACAACATGAACAGCATAGGCGATGTCGGATCGGGAGATAGTAAGATAAATAAGACTACCAACCAAAGTCCGATAGCGGGTGACATCAGAAAGAGGTTCTCCATCGTCTGGGCAAAACTTTTGATTTAGCTCAATAGGAGTGGCAAGAAGACGTGAATCGATAGAGCGACCCTGGACATAATATCGCCGGTATATTTCTCGCCGAGAAATGAGAATACCACGTGAACTGCGAGCAATCTCAAGTCCAAGAAAATAGCGCAGTGGTCCTAGATCCTTCATGGCAAAATGTTGCTGAAGGTGTCGCTTGGTATGCTCAATATGGTCACGATCATCTCCGGTGATGACCGTATCATCAACATAAAGAAGAAGAATAGTGCAGCCTGAAGAAGAGGTATGAACAAACATAGCATGATCAGCCTCACTTTGAATAAAACCAGCAGACTGAATAGCATCACTGAACTTCTCAAACCAAGCACGAGGGGCTTGTTTGAGACCATAAAGAGCCCATCGCAAGCGGCAAACCTGTTCAGAGGTATGAGCAAGACCAGGCGGAGGTTGCATAAAGATATCTTCCTGAAGATCACCGTGAAGAAAAGCACTCTTCACATCAAGCTGAAAGAGAGGCCAACTGCGAATTGAAGCAACAGCTAATAAAGCACGGACAGATGTCATCTTTGCTACGGGAGCAAAGGTCTCCTCATAGTCGATACCATACTCTTGCGAGAAACCTCGAGCAACCAGTGAATCATCTGATGAAGTTGCGAAACGTGCCGCTGAAATTCGAGCATGGAATGTTGCTGATCGGAAGGCATGGGCTATCATTTTTGGTTCTATTGATCCTGCTCTTCGCCCACAATTTTCTAATGTTGTTGAGGCGAAAAGTTTATGGGATCAGCTTGCCGAGATGTTCACCCAGACAGAGGACATTCGAGTTTATCAGTTGGAGCAAGAAGTTTACAGTGCTATGCAAGGGTCTCGCTCTATTTGAGATTTCTACAATTACATGCACTCACTTTGGAGTCAATCGGATATTCTTGCTCCTATTCTACTTGCCCATCATGCACAGGCCCTGCTCGAGGTGTCCATCTACTCGACTTCAGACTCAAGATAGGCACTGTCTACATTCTTTTCTTATGAAGCTCGGCTCTCCCTATGAAGGTGTTCGCAGCCAACTTCTTCACCGCTCTCCAAGACCATCCCTCCTTGACGCTGTCAAGATAGGCAACTGCTTTTTGAATCATATGATATATCAGCGCCGAGGAGGAAAGAAGACCAAGACGAGTTTCCTCAAACTGTAATTCTTTGACAGCGTCAAGGAGGGATGGTCTTGGAGAGCGGTGAAGAAGTTGGCTGCGAACACCTTCATAGGGAGAGCCGAGCTTCATAAGAAAAGAATGTAGACGGTGCCTATCTTGAGTCTGAAGTCGAGTAGATGGACACCGAGTACAATTCAGGCATGATGGGCAGAGAATAGGAGCAAGAATATCCAGTTGACTCCAAAGTGAGTGCATGTAATTGTAGAAATCTCGAATAGAGCGAGACCCTTGCGTAGCACTGTAAACTTCTTGCTCCAACTGATAAACTCGAATGTCCCCTGTCTGGGTGAACATCTCGGCAAGCTGATCCCATAAACTTTTCGCCTCAACAACATTAGAAAATTGTGGGCGAAGAGCAGGATCAATGGAACCAAAAATGATAGCCCATGCCTTCCGATCAGCAACATTCCATGCTCGAATTTCAGCGGCACGTTTCGCAACTTCATCAGATGATTCACTTTCAAGAGCACCAGGACAAGGACAAAGTCCCTCAACATGCTCAAACAAGTCGCGGTAAACAAGTGCTGCCATTGCCGATGGTTTCCAAAGAGAATAGTTTGAACCATCGAGTTTGACGTCAATACGGTCACTAGAATCACCCATGACGACAGAAAAAGAAATCACTAGCAAAGCTAGAAATATGGATTGAGGTGATCGAAAGGATCGAGAAAGAAGAAGCGCGGATTAGAACGAGCAAGGATGATGGCCCAAAAGCCCTAAACTCATTATCTTAATTTCTGATGCGGAAAATCCAATTTATGGCAACCGCAGAGATACTTTAAAAAAAAATAATGAGCTCATTGTCTTAATTTCTGATGCGGAAGATCCAATTGATGGCAACCGCAGAGCATACTCTTCAAGACAATGATCTTGGCTCTGAGACCATGATAAGAAAGAAAGATTAAAAGAGAATGGTATTTATTCTCTTATAATGGTATATGAAACAATGTACATAAGAAGCCTTTATATAGGCTTAGAGGAGTAAATGAGCCTAGCATTCTTCCTATGTGGGACCAAAGAGAAAGAAGAGATGTAAAGGAAAATCTACAAAACTATACAACATGTTTTAACAGTATTATGGCGCGTGGAGCTTTTGTACAAGGAAGAAGCGGGAGCAACTATGAGATCGGCAACAATGGAAAATCGTTCCTTCAGCTAGTGCTCACACTGAGTTCTGAAAAACTTCATGGTGAGAGTCTTACGCATAAGCTTTTTTGGTCAGGCCCATGACTGTGTTGTTCTGTTATTTGCGTTTAAAGTACAATGAAAACTCATTTGTGAATGACTGCTTTGCAACTTTGCAAGGGTACATTGGCTCGTTTTCTCATCTTTGGAACGATTTCTCGTGGCTTTGGCTCTGTGATTGTCTTCGGAGACTCCGGGTTCTTCAGTGTCTGCGATTATGGAAGCGTTGGTGATGGCATTACAGAAGATGCAGGAGTAATACTTTTTCCTGTTAATACTTTATCCACTCGATTTGGTCTATAACTTTTTCTCACTATGTCGGATTTGACATTGTCTCCCACTTGTTGCAGGCATTTCTTGAAGCTTGGCATGCTACATGCAGCGCGCAATTCGAGAATCCGACCATGATCATTCTGGATAATTACACGTTTCTGGTACATCAGCTTCCATTCAGCGGGCCCTACAACGCCAAAAATATCACATTTCTTGTATACATAGATCAACTTCACTCTTTCACCTGATTATCAAATTATTCAAACTGACCATTCCAGAGTGCAATAAAATCATTAACTCGATTCTCTTTCATTTTTCCTACATGTCAATTTCAACACATGTTTCATTCAATTCCATAGGTATTAGGGGATATAAAAACGCACCTACCTTGCCTAGAGAATGGACAGATCTCGACCCTAGCTCATGGATCACATTCCGTGGCATAGATCAGCTTCATGTCACTGGTTTCGGCACAATTGATGGACAGGGATCAGAGTGGTGGAAGCAATCCTGCAGATATAATTCACATTTGGTACATGAAAATTTCTAAGTATATTTTTCATTCTGCTTGTTTTTTCTTGGCTCGGGTCATGCAATGGACTGCAATTTTTCAGGAAGGATACACTTCTCTGGCACCGATAGTAAGTCTTCAACCTATTACCTTGCATTGACAAACACTAATTGACATATTGATAGGACATTGATGTGTTTTTGTAGAACAATTGTGGCGATTTTGTAATTGGTTCGCAGGCTATGAAATTCCTTTGGTGCAGTGCGAGCAGTCTTAACAATATAAAACTTGTAAACAGTTCTGAAACCCATGTGTTAATCAGGGGATGCGGCTTCTTTAACATCGGCAATTTGTTGATTGAAGCTCCGGAGATGAGCCCCAACACCGATGGCATTCACATTCAAACTTTGCAGCATGTGTCCATTGCAAATACAGTCATTGGAACTGGTAATTTCTGCAATTCCTCCTGTTCGGTCTTCCTTATTGCGGTCAGAAGTCACGTATGTTCGTCTCTGTGATTTCTGTTTTCCTTAAAGTTGGGCTTGTGATCACCAGGTGATGATTGTATATCCACTGGAGACTACACTTCAAATATGTATGTCTCATCTGTCACATGTGGACTGGCCATGGTGTAAGGTGAAGTCCAATTCTTCATGCTATCTCTGTCAATGTGATTGTATGATGGAATCAATCATGATAAAAGGGCATCGGATCATGAACACAAACATCTCTTTGGGCAATCTTAATCTGGAAAATTATCTACATCGTGATTCTCCAAGACTCATGCATAAGATGGCTATAGTTTGTTATCAGGTATTGCAGTATTACAGATGATGCACCAATCTTGAACCTAAAAAGGAAATGAACTTTGCGTTTGTCCGATAAAATGAGGGTCGTTTCGTTCTTGCGAAAGTCAAGAAATTCCTACCCCACTTCTCGTTTTTGTCATTACTTTGTTTATGCTTTCTACAGCATTGGAAGTTTAGGCCGAGGAGGGAATTTCGTTCAAGTCGAGAACATTCACGTGAGCAATGTACATTTTAAGCATACTACAAACGGTGCTCGGATCAAAACATGGCAGGTAATGAACAATGAGTGCAAATTGCATTCATCCGAGATGGGAATTTCGTTTCATATTTCTGTTCTGTTTGCACTTCCTCGATATTCCTTTGTGTTGATGTAGTGAAGGTTGGGAAGGGATATGTACGAAGGATCACTTTCGACCATCTTAAATTCGACTCGGTTAGAAACCCGATAATCATCGACCAAAACTACTGTTCTGCCCGGGGAGCATGCCAAGAAATGGTAAATCCCTTTCCTATAGTGATGCTTTTCTTTTCCATGAAAGGCGCAAATCATTGAGGCAGTTTCTTTCTCCCTACGAATTTTTGGACGAAGCAAACCGGAGTTCACTTAAGTGACGGGGCATATATTGGCCTTTCCGGGATTTCAAGCATTGATGTCGCTATTAATCTGAACTGCAGTCGGAGCGTCGCGTGCACCGGAATAGTACTTTGAATCGATAGAGCTGACATCTGCAAACATGGATAGGCAAGTCACGTCTAGTTGCCTCAACGCATACGGGAACACCATTGGAGTGGTTCGACCGGATCCGTCTCCAAAGTTTGACAGAAGCCCATTAATCTCTTTGTTCTACCGAGAGAACGGCATCTAACTCTGTCGACTTCTCAAAGTTTCTTTGGCTGTTGCAGAGAGCTCCCATGTATCCTCAGCAGTTGTACAGTGAAAGCTGTCTGGGTTGTGTCTATATGTACCCATTTCTCGCTGAAAGTGCTTCTCTTCACTGGCATTCTCTTTCTGCACATAAATGTTTCTGCATTATTTTGTGATTGTATGTTCAGAATCAAGATAGCTGAGCTTAGGAATCAATATCATACAAGAGCCCAGACACCAGTTGATAGTGATGGACTTAGCTAAGCACCTGGGCGCACGCCACGTGTGCTCAGAAAACCCGACGGGAGGATGGTCCCGACGGCAATGGAGAAGGGAGAATGACCCTCGGAACAACGGGCTTCAGCCGGTTTTACACCACAGGTGGTTTGATGGATAAGACCTCCACTAAAACCTAATCCTGTTGGAGGAGGAAAAGCGTTGCACTACCTAGAAATCAAGCATCCATTGGCCCTTTAAGGACGGTTTAACGGCCACGCAAGACATGCGACACCACCATTTGAGGATGTCTAGATTTATGATTCACTCCATAAGATCTCTCCCAACCGACCCCCACTTAAAAAACCAATGTCTTCCGCCCGGTCAATCACTCTCCATCCTTGTCGGATCAGAAATGGGCCTAGTTCGTTTATGAATTATGAATTGCGTATTTACTTAAGGGGATCCTGCTCTGATATCATCTGTAACGACTTAGCCTGATCCACGTGAATCCAACCCCCGAACAAAGTAACCTAAGCAACCACACAAGGTGGTGACCATTTCTGAGGTGAGTGTTGACTTATGAATCACTTAACAGGTCCTCTCCCAACTGACATGGGACTTGAGATGTCACACATATGTTATGGTTTCCTCACGTACTAACTTAAGTATGGGAGGTCCAATCGAGGTCAAAAATCCGAACGCGTCAACCCATTTTCATGCATGCAAATCCATTCCCGGTGAAAGTCTTGCCCGACTCGAAAGGATCCATCATGCATTAACATCAATAGTTTCGTCGAGAGGAACAATGGACAAAATTGATCAACTTTGAGCATCATCTACGATTACCTCATGCCCCCTAAATTTAACACCACCAGTATGCATTGTAGTCTTCAGGAAATGAAATCATTCTCGTCCAGAACTATACAGTCTATAACTGTATCAATTTTCACAACATTCAAACATTGGTTATGTCTTTGATATGCTACGCTGACGTTCCGTTTTCACTTGTGCCGAAATAAGACTCTGCAAGTCGAGACAATTGCAACGCGTCCGGTATTATAGGTGACCTGCTAAAGTGCAGACGAACTACAGATTCTAGTTCTAATGGCACAAGTTTGCCATTGTCCACAAGCACATATCTGAATGTGGAGAAGAGTTAGGTATTGTTCTTGAAATCTACGAATTTTTTTTTCTCTTCTTTAAAATTGTTAACGAGTTAGGTAATTTTTTTGACTTAATTTGAACAGCAATTGAGTTATGACATATTAACCGGAAGGATCTTGACAATTGCATAAGATGACCCATATGCAGTTCATGTGGCCGGCAATTGCTCTGACGACTTTGTTTTTCTGAATAGCGGATTGTCACGAGGAATCTTCTCTTGTTGCGAGTCCAACATATTTCTTGATCCCACTTCTTGTCTTTTTCGTTGACTTATTCCTATAATGTTTTTTTTTTGGGGGTCAGACTATTCCAATAATGTTCACTCGTAGCAAATATACATTAACTTTCTCGAATTTTCAAAACACAGTAGCTGAAAGAAATGCTTAAACATGAAGAGAAACTCCAATCTTTTCTGGGTACCACCGTACAAGTGCAGAATCAGTCCTTCACATTTTGATTGTACATAGTTCTCAACGTTTAGAAAATGTGCAATCTAGTTTTAATCTCACTGTCGATGGGTTTCCAATATTGAAAATCCTATGTTTTTAAATGTCACGTGGCCACTAACCCAAGAGCTATGTATGATTTTTGACGGTGAGCTTAGGACTTGAACGCACCTTTTTTTTATAATGTTAAAGACTTAATGGATCGAAATATAATGTTAACGGCTCAATTAATGAAGTTCAAAACGTTCGGTATTTTCCAACGTTGGAAGCGCGTGTATTGATTCTTTAGTAGTTGGTTTTTGAACTTTTGCAGATACACATACTTCAGTAATGTGCTGACACTGCCTCTGTACGATAATTTTCAGATGAACAGAAGAAAATTTTTATTTTTTCTTCTGTCTTTCCATATTTTGGCTCATACAGACATATCGGCAAGAGGGATATTCGTAGGAGCTGTTCCATGCACATTTTATTTGGAAAAGGACGGGGGAAATAGTTTTGAGAAATCGAAATCAATCGAAGGCAAACCAATGATATGTCTATAAATACAGGTACATAGATGGTCCACATTATAAAAGAGATCTACGCATATAAAGATAAGAATTAGCTTTTGCCGCTTCTTCTGCTGCTTCTTCACTTGTTTTCTTGAGCTTCTTTCAACAAAAGGAGGCAAGGCAACCATGGAAGTGATGACCAAGTACTGGACCATAAAGACCCACATACAGGATGCACCCAAGGAAGCTGACTTCGACCTCAAGACTTCAAAGTTGGCTCTGTCGCTCAAGCCTGGCTCGAAGGAGATGATTGTGAAGAACCTGTACGTGTCCATCGACCCGTACCAGTTGAACAGGATGAAGAGTTCCAGCTTGTCGCAGAAGACCGGCGGTTTCGCTGTGGGAATCACTCCTGGTCAGGTTAGTCACTCTGTTCATAAAGTAGCTAAGTCTGTTTTGACATTGTTGCTGTTCTGTGAATCAAATTAATTTCTTTTTATAAAATACAATTTTTTGGGTGAATTTGTAATGCTTCCGGTGCCTGCAATGATGACTATTTTTGTTGGTGAAAAATAAAACGACATCATCGCGAAGACCAAGCTAATCATCAATCATTCTCAATAAACGCAACCAAAGAGAACTCACTGTTGTGAAAAGATTGACTTTTATGGCAAAAACATAAGTTGGGCGTTTTGTTTTATAAATATTGTGTAAACAGGAAATTGAAGCTTTTGGTGTGGCAAGAGTTGTGGCCTCAGAGAATCCTGAATATGAGAAGGGCGATTTGGTTGTGGGACTTGTCACTTGGGCAGAGTACAGCAAGATCGGAAGCAATGGGATGATCAGGAAGCTTGATCCAATGGGGTTTCCTCTGTCTTATCATGTTGGGATATTGGGTAATCTCTTTCACCATCTTATCTCTTTAGCTAGTCCTGTCACTTGATATAATGCCCTTTTCTGATCCTCCTGTATTTGTTCATCCAGCATTTAGTGGGCTCACAGCCTATGCCGGGTTCTTCGAGATATGCAAGCCGAAGCGAGGTGAGAAGGTGTTTGTATCGGCAGCATCAGGGTCGGTTGGGAACTTGGTTGGACAGTACGCGAAGTTGCACGGGTGCTATGTCGTCGGTTGTGCAGGAAGCAAGCGAAAGGTCACCCTCCCCAATGCCCAACATTACAAGTTTCCCCAATGTTTTCGTCACCAAAAGATGTTGAATAATGATGAACTTGTTTTGTTGTTTCAGGTACAACTGCTCAAGGAAAAGCTAGGTTTTGATGAGGCCTTCAACTACAGGGAGGAAACTGATTTGAACTCAACTCTCAAAAGGTCAGATTCTTCAGAGTGTATCAAGAATCTAGATTGTATATTCTCTTATCAAAAGAAAAATCTAGTAATTTTTCTGGTGTTTGTTTTTGTCAATCGACAGGTATTTTCCTAACGGAATCGATATATACTTTGACAATGTGGGCGCCGAGATGCAAGAAGCGGCGATTGCTAATATGAATGCCTTTGGCAGAGTTGCCGTGTGCGGAGTAATATCCGAGTATACAGATTCGGGGAAAAGAGCCGCGCCCGACATGTTAGATGTCATTTACAAGAGAATAAAAATCCAGGGCTTTTTAGCCGGCGATCACATTGGCCTTTTCCAGGATTTTGTCTCAACCACCAGCGACCATCTCCGCAGTGGCGAGTTGTGCCCGCTTGAGGATATCTCGGATGGCCTGGACTGCATTCCCTTTGCTTTCACAGGGCTGTTTCGAGGCGACAACGTCGGGAAGAAAATTGTTAAGATTGCAGAAGAATGAGAGTTTGCTAATTAGGATTTTAACTTAATCAAATCAGTGTTCGGTATCTGATTCATTCGAGTATACATATCATAAATTGCCGGAAACTTTTTATATCTTTTATGACGGGAATCCTGAAATGGAGAATGGCAAAACAATTTGATGCAGATCAGGCAATAAAAACTTCAGAAATTACAAAAACTAATAGTCCTAAGTAAGATATTGAAGTACCGAGTCAACAGAACATGTTTTTTTTTTTTTTTGTCATGAACAGAACATGTTATGTGGAAGGTTTTTGACAAATGGGTGATTGTCCAAGTTTTTGCATTTATCTTAGGCAGCATTTTATTGAGGTTGGAGATAGCTTAGTGTGATTTCTCTCTATGCTATTACAACCTCTTTAGTTGCAACTATTACACTGAAATGTAATAGAGCTTTAATAAGGAATATAATGATTGGTTTAATTCAAGCAAATGGTTATACTGATTGGTTTCATTAGTGACTTGTAATAAGAAGGAATAACATCAAAATTCTCAAAATACTCCCAAAATCATAATCAAGGGGACTATAATAAATTCAAACTTTAAATAATGATTCACGAGCTTAATACCTCACAGAAGTAACGTGTGATTACATTGTATTTAATTATGAAAATTCAACCACTGAGGTTTGCCCTTCCTACTTGGGAAGAGCGAGGTGAGGAATTTGATTCTCCACCTTCTCAGGAGGCTAGGGGTGAGGACTTCTAATTTCAAATGTGGGTTTCGACTCCTAAGCTCTGCAAAGAGGCATGGCAAAAGTCTACGAGTGAGTTGAGAGTTAGAGTATGACAGACAAAAAAAAATTATGAAAATTCAAGTAATCGTACCTTACAGTGAGCAGCAAACATTATGCTAGTTATTGTAGTATGAACAACCTTTTGTAAATAACTATGTATAATCAAGATATCATAGTTAAATTATATCGATTATTTAGATATTATGTAATATATTATTTATTATTCATATACTATTTTTGTATACCAGAATAAGTACGACAGGGGTTATCAATATCAATATAATATTAGCAAATTAGTTAGAATTAACATAGATTTTAATGATAATTAGTAATCTAATATTGACTGGGTGAGTAGGAAAAAAGAGGGGCACTTTTTAGAGGGTCATGTGATAGCTATTAAGTCATAGCTATTACAACTTGTAATAGACCTGTAATATCAGTAAACGGTAGTAGCTACTACTGTAAGTGTAAACAAACATTGTAATAGGCAATCAACTTGTAATATGCCTGTAATTTAACAGTCATTAGTGCAGCTAAACATGTTAATGTTGCATTTCCTCTAATGTTACTGTTGGGAAATACGTCATGTGATAGATAGACAACCACGAAAGATTTAAAGTGATGTGCTCAATAACATCAATTTTAGCGATGATAATGTAAATTACCCCAAAGTATAGAATTGACTCATC